GGCTTGCTTTCTCACTTTCCCTCTGTGTGTGTGTCTCTCTCTCTGGTCAAATTTAAAAATAAATGAATGAATATATAAAATTAAATAAATAATTCTGTAAAAAAAATTGGGGGGGCAAGCAGGTGGCATGGTAGATAAAGGTGCTAGATTCCCACATGGTCAACCACAGTTTGAGTCCCAGACCTGGCAGCTTGCTTTCTTGCTTTCCCTTTTTTTCTATCTCTCTGTTTCTCTCTGGTCGAATTTAAAAAAAAAAAAAACAACAACAAATGGAATTAAATAAATGAATAATTCTTTTTAGAAAAAATGGTTAGTTAATAAGAGTACTCCTGGGGCAGCCTGTGGCATGGTGGTTAAGGCAGCTGGATCCCACAAGTCTCAGACCTGGTGGCTTAAAAACATGCCAGGCTTGGGACCAGAAGTTGGCATAATGGTTATGTCACTGGTCTCCCACATGGCTGACCATGGTTCAAAGCTCAGACCTAGCAGATTGAAACTCATGCCAGGAGCATGTGTGTACATGCTCAAAATCTCAAGAAGAGAATGTAGAAGGGATTGCAGTGTGGCCATCCCCCTGGCAGTGATTTCTTGCTTTCTGTCTCTCCATCTCTGTCTCTCCAGTGAGCTCACGTGCTCCTATAGCAAAAATCTTTCTAAAAAAAAGAGAGAAAAACATGCCAGGCTCATGTGCTTGCATGCTCGAAATCCCAAGAGGAGAATAGAGAAGGAATCATGATGTGACCCTCTAGGGTGGGGGAAGCAGGGAGCACTGCTTTTTCACTTGCCCAATCTCTTTCTCTCCAGCAAGTGCACATACCCTCTAGCAAAATTAAGGGGGGAAAAGAAGAATATTCCTGGGACCAGCAGATAGTGTAATAGCTATGTCTCTGGACTCCCATGTAGTAGACCACAATTTGAGTACCGGACCTGGCGGCTTAAACTCACGCCGGGTGCATGTGTGTGCGTGCCCAAGATCCCGAGAGGAGAATGGAGGAGAAGGGATTGCGGCGTGGCCATCCCCCCCTGGGGGGTGATTTCTCGCTTTCTGTCTCTCTGTCTCTTTCTGTCTGTCTGGCAAGTGCACGCACCCTCTAACAAAAACCTCTCAAAAAGAAAAAAAAAAAAAAGAATATCCCTAGTAAGTCATCTCAAAAGGTTAAGCATCCTGAGCCAGCCCTATAGCCTGCCAGTTAAGGGAGCCAGATCTCACATGATCAAATGTGATTGAAATCCCTGCCCTGGCAGTTTGAAAAATACTTGGGGTGTGCATGCCTGTGTGCCCCAAATCACAACAGGATGGACAAATAGAGAAGGAATTACATTTTGACCACACCCACTGTGCTTTCTCTGTCTCTCTGTCTCTAGCTTTCTGTCTTTCTCTAGCTAGCAATTGAAAAGGAAAAAAATAAAATAGGAATCCTTGTGTGCTTTGAAATACAGCTTTATAGAGCAGAGAGCTGCACGGGTAGAAGGATGGAGGAAGAGCATCCACCTGGCATCAGGAAACTCGAGTTCTACTCCTAGCTCCTACTGATCATGTGCCTGACCACGTGCCTGATCCCCAGATTCATTTTATGTAAAAGGCGCGTACTCCTACCCTAACCAACTTATAGACTTTTTGTAAAAATCTCAAGTAGACAATGTATGTGGAAGCATTTTGATAAGGGACTGTTATATTTTTTAACTTGTGTTGTTTTTTATAAATGCTATCTTTGTGAGGCATTTTCATTATATTTCTGTTTTTCCAGGTGGAGCTAGGGTGGATCTAGTTGACCAAGATGGACATTCTCTTCTGCATTGGGCAGCTCTGGGAGGAAATGCTGATGTTTGCCAGATATTAATAGAAAATAAGATCAATCCGAATGTGCAAGATTATGCAGGAAGGACCCCTTTGCAGTGTGCTGCATATGGAGGGTATATCAACTGCATGGCAGTGCTCATGGAGAACAATGCAGACCCTAACATTCAAGACAAAGAGGTAGGTATTCTGAGTCTCTTCTATTTATGTTTGCTCCAGACCGTTTAGAATATTTCTTCTATGCTATACACTTAAGTAAAACATCAATTTGCGAAGTGAAGAGATCACCCACAAATGCATCTGTAAATTATGATTGTCATTTGTCCATGTTTTATTTTAGTACTCATCCATATCTTTTTTAAAAGAATTATTTTGTTTAATTTTATTTTTTTATACATACATATATACATACATACATACCAGAGAGGGACAGAGCAAGAGAGAGACAGAGGGAAAGTGAGAAAGCAAGCCACCAGGTTCAGGACTTAAACCATGATAGCCATGGGGAGTCCAGCGCCCTTAACCACCACACCACCTGCCAGCCCCAGTTCTCATATCTCTCTATATATAATTTGACATGGTATACTATAAACTGGGAATAGCTTTCATAAAAGATATATAAATGGCATATGAATATATGTATGTAAATACATAGGATTTTACACATTTTACACATTTTGTTTCATTTATGTAAAATTATCACCAACATTTTCTCATTTGATACATAACTTTTTTTCTTCTAGTTTTGCTTTAAAGTGCATGTGCTTGCCAGAAAGAGACACAGACAGTGAGAGGGAAAGTGAAAATCACGTCCCGGGGGTTTGGCTACACAGCAATCCCTTCTCCTCTTGGGATTTTGGGCATACACACACATGTATCCGGTGTGATTTTAGAGAAAAGATAGATATCAAATGAGATAAGGTTGATAATAATTTTAAGTTCTGGACTCAAACTATGCAGTTGGCCATGTGGGATCTAGCCACCTTAACCCCCATGCCACCTGCTGGCCCATTGATACACAATATTTTAAATAGTCACAAATACATAATATTCCAAAATCTAAGAGCATTATGTTTATTTTACTTTTATGTTTTAATTGCCATAGAGCACATGCATTTGCCAGAGAGAGACCTAAAGTCAGAGAAAGGGAGAGGGAGAAAGCATCCCCTAATGGGACATGATCACACCACAATATCATCTCCTTTATTTCTTCATCCTGTTGGGATTTGGAGAATGCACTCATGCCTGAGATGTTTCTCAATCCAATGGGGTCAGAATTCGAATCACAGACAGCCATGTGGGATTTGGCTCCCTTAACCAATAAGCTACAAGGCCAGACCAAAGAGCTTTATGTTTAACAGCTCATTCAGTCCTCACAGCAACCTTATGAAGTAGTTAATATTATTATTCCCTTTTTACAGATGAGGAAATTAAAGCTCATACAATTTCAAAAATTACCCCAGAGTAACAAAGCTGTAAATGGGGAGTCAGGATCCAACTCTGCCTTTAACCCAAATTTTAGAATAAAATAAGTAACTGCCTATTGCTGAACACTTTTTCATTATTATAGAGACTGCAGTAATTATATTTATGCATTTAACATTTTGCTTCTTGATTATTTCTTTAGAATAATTCCTCCTGGTGCCAGCAGGTAGCGTGGTGGTTAAGGTCACTGCACTCCCACATGGCTGACCGTGGTTCGAGTCCTGGACCTGGCAGCTTGCTTTCTCACTTTCCCTCTCTTTCTCTCTTACTCTGTCCCTCTCTTTATATATATATAAAGTTAAATGAAATAATTCTAAATAAATAAGAATAATTCCCCCTAAGTGAGAATATTGAATCAAAGAAACAAATGGTATATGAATATATGAATGTGATTGTGTTGTGATATATACTGCCAAACTGAGTCCTGTAAGCAATAGGATAACCTATACTTCCACTAGCTGTTTAGTAATATATCAATTTCTCTCAATTTTGAGAAATTTATATTTTTGGATAGTTTATTTTAACTCTTTAAAATATTATGTAAATATTATGTAAAATAATATATATCTAAGTATATAGATTATATTTCCAAGTCAGAAAATATATTCCCTATTAACTGATTTAGCAAAATTTTATTGTATTGCTACTATACATAACATATAAGTTATAAAAATATGTAAAATAAGGTCCTTGTCCTTATGTTATTAAGAATTAATCTGGGACCAGCAGATAGCATAATGGCTATGTGGCTGGACTTCCATGTAGTCAACCACAGTTCAAGTCCCAAACCCAGTGGCTTAAACTCACACTGGGCACGTGTGCATACATGCTCAAGATCCCTAGAGGAGAATGGAGGAGAATGGATTGTAGTGTGGCCATCCCCCCCTGGGGAGTGATTTCTTGCTTTCTGTCTCTCTGTCTCTGTCTTTCTTGCAAATGCACATGCCCTATAGCAAAAACCTCTCCAAAAAAAAAAAAAGAAAGAATTAATTTTGCGTGGCTAACGGGTGGTGTGGTGGTTAAGATACTAGACTCCCTCATGGCTGACTGTGATTTGAGTCCTGGACCTGCTGGTTTGCCTTCTCACTTTCTCTCTCTGTGTGTGTCTCTCTCTCACACACACTCTCCCTGTCTCTCTCTGATGAATGCACATGTACTATAGCAAACTTAAAAAGAAAATAATAATAGTAATAAATAAATTTAATTAATTAATTTTAAAAAATTTATCTTGGGGGGGCCAACTGGTGGCCTAGTGGTTAAAGTGCTGGAATCCCACATAGTTGACCATGGTTCAAGTCCCAGAGCTGGTGGCTTAAAATTCACATCAGACACATGTGCATGTGTGTCCAAAATTCCAAGAGGAGAATGGAGGAGAAGGAATTTCAGTGTGCTTATACCCCCTAGGGAGTGATTTCTCATTTTCTCTCTGTCTCTTTTTGCTTTTTCCTAAAGCAAAAATCTCTTTCTGGTGGCCAGCAGGTGGCATAGTGGTTAAAGGCACTGCACTCCCACATAGATGACTGTAGTTTGAGTCCCAGGCCTGGCAGCTTGCTTTCTCACTTTCCCACCTTATTTCTCAGTCTCTCTCTGGTTAAATTAATAAATAATAATAACAAATAAAGTTAAATAAAATAATTCCACAAAAAAAAGAAAAAACTCTCTCTGAAAAGATAAACAAAAGAATGAATCTTGAGACCAGCGGTTGGCATAGCAGTTATGTTGCTGGATTCCCACATGGACGAACACAGTTTAGCATCTGGACCTGATGGCCTGAAATTCACACTGGTTGTGTGTGTGTGTGTGTGTGCATGCCCAAGGTTCTGGGAGCAGAATGAAGGAGAAAGGACTATGGCATGTCCTCAGGGTGTGATTTCTCACTTTTCTTCTCACTATGTCTGTCTGTCTGTCTCTCTCTCTCTCTCTCTCTGGCAAGTACACACACCCTAAGGCAAAAATATTTTTAAAAAAGAATTAATCTTTATCATTTGTAATATCTTTTCTATTTTAATCTTTATCATTTGTAATATATTTTCTATTTTAATCTTTATCATTTGTAATATCTTTTCTATTTTACCAAGTTACCAATTTCTTACAAAAGTAATATATTAAGTTTCTTTCCAGTTCTATTAGTTTCTATTTCTATTGTTTTAGATAAGCAATCATGATGTTTGTGGATAATAGTATTTTTATTTGTTCATTTCCAACCTTTATACCTTTCATTTCTTTGTCTTGCCTTATCGAACTAGCTAGGACATGCAATATAATGTTGATTAGAATTGGTGATAGTTGGCATCCTTAACTCATTCTGGCTTTTCAGAGGCAAGCTTTCAATATTTCACCATTGAATGTGATATTTGCTGTAGATTGCCTTATATTTCTAGTTGCTAAGAATTCTTTACAACCAAGATTAGTAGAGGGTGTGATGGTTACGTTGCTGGGCTCCCTTGTAGTCAACTGCTGTTCGAATGCCAGACCTAGCGGCTTAAAACTCATGCCAGGTGTATGTGCATGCATACCCAAAATCCTGAGAGGGGAATGGAGGAGAAGGGATTATGACATGACCTTCCCCCTGGGGAGTGATTTCTCGTTTTCTGTCTCTCTCTCTCTCCAGCGAGTACATGAACCCTATAGCAAAAGTCTCTCTCTAAAAAAAAGAACTCTTTAAAATTATAATTAGGGGTCAGCCAGTTTGGAATGGTAGTTAAGGCAGCTGGATCCCACATGGCCTACTGCATGTTCAAGTCCTGGGCCCAGCAGTCTAAAAACACACCCAGCTGCATGTGGGTGTATGCCCAAAATCCCAAAAGGAAAATGGAGGAGAAGGGATTATGGTGTTGCTTTCTCAGTCCCTCCACCTCTTACCATCTCTCTCTGGCAAGCACATGCACCCTAGAGAAAAACTTTTTAAAAATTCGTAATTAGGTTCTTATCAAATATTTATGCATCTCTTAATAGGATCATATATTTTTCTTTTCTGTATTGGGTGAATTACACTGGTTGATTTTTTTTCAGGTATTAGACCACTCTTGCATTCTTGGAGTAAGCCCCACTTAATGATGTAAACACACATATATTGATGGACTTTATTTGCTAATATTTTAAGATTTTTGTATCTATATTCATGAGAAATATTGGCTTGTAATTTTCCTTTCTTGTGTTTTACTGGTCAGGTTTTAGAAGCACAGTAATGCTGATCTTATCAAAAGAGTTAGGAAATAGTTCTTTTCTTATTCTTCAAAATTATTAATGTAAGACTGGTGTTACTTCTTCCTTAAATGTTTGAAAGAACTCATCGTTGAAGTCTTCTGGTCTTGAGGTTTTCTTTGTGCGAAAGTCATTAACAACTGATACAGTTCCATTAATTGTTATCAGACTTTCTAATTATTTTTAAATTATTTCCCTTTCAGCTTCGGTTAATATTGTTTTCTGTTTTTAAGAGAGATTTTTGCCATAGGGTACATTCGCTCACCAAAGAAACAGAGAGACAGAAAGCAAGAAATCACCCCCCAGGGGAGATGGCCACACCGCAATCCCTTCTCCATTCTTCTTTTGGGATTTTGTGCATGCATGCACACTTGCTGTGTGAGTTTTAAGCTGCAGGGTCTGGGACTCAAACCATGGTCGACTACATGGGAGTCCAGCAACTTAACTGTTACACCATCTGCTGATCCCAGTTAAGTTTTATTTTTTGAGGA